GAACAAAGTGGACTTTGCCTCGCGCTCACACCACTGAAACACAGATACACCGTTGAAATGTTGTTGTTCTGGTAATCAGCACTGGGGTGTGTAGCTTGTTGAACGAATAATCTCCTCAAAGCTGTTTTCAGGTGATACAACTTGCATCTAACTTGTGCTTTTTAAGTAACGTTTCCTTGTAAGAATGTTTCTTTCTAGGTCATTCTGTTTCTGAGTAGTTCTCCATCTGTTCCTTTTGTGTTTCAGAGTAGTGATGTAGGCCGGGGTGAGGTTTGGCTGGTGCTGACAGACCCCAGTCTTCAGGAGCCCGAGAGGCCCCGCAGGCGGACGGTGGCCCTGTGTGTCAGCACTTCCTGTGCGCTCACTTCCTGCGTCCTCAAAGCACTAAATTCCCCCGCCGCCTGTCGCATGTCATTCACAGATGCCATCAGAGAACACGGTTAGAGTTTCGACATGGCATGCCATTCAACCGCTACATGTCATGAGCCGTGCACGTCACCCAAAAAGTAGTAAATACACTTATTGACTTTCCACCCAAAGTACAACATGCAGATTATTTTACTTCACTTTCAGTATTTCCATTTTCCGCTACTTTATACTTCTAATTTAATAAATCTCAGAGGAAAATATAATAGTTTTTACTCCCCTACATTTATCTGACAGCTAAAGTCATTAGTTACTTGCAGTGGTGGAAGAAGTACTTAGTACTCCATTACTAAAGTCCTGCATTTCAAGTAAAAGTAAAGCAGTATTTTGGTTGTGTGTACTTAATGTAACAAAAGCAGAAGACGTGGCCGTGCACTAACATGTCACCTGTGTCTAATTAATTATTATGTATAGAAATATTAAGATTATATTAAATAACAAAAAGTAAAACGCTATTTTAACACTGATGCGTCAGAATTGACTATCTAATGTCATATATAATATTACATGAGTACTTCTGATACTTTAAAGGTGTAATATGCAGCATTTTCCAAAACAACTTACAGAAAAGTAATCCCTCATTACTTTGACCCCCGAGAAATGAGTGGTGGTGTTTGTGTCTACAGAGACTCTATTTTCTCTCTTCTTCTCATTTTTCTGTGTTCGGGACGTTTCCAAGCGTCCGCAAAGAACACCTCGCCGGGTTGTAACCCTCAGCCAATAACGACGCCAAAAGGCCTTGCAGCCCGTTCTCATCCCTCACCCTTTAGCGTCTCTCTGCTACAAAGTGGCAGTATTTGACGAACAACGGGGTTGTGACGTCGTTTGTGTGTTCTTCAGTGTTTCCTCTGTTCTTCGTCTCTGTCCTCGGAGCGGAAACACAATCACTGACGGGCCACAGTGTGCGTTTCAGCTGCATTGCGGCACCTTTCCTGTAGCGATGTGCGGAGGTGTGTAGAGCAAAACCGCCGTGAAAGAGTCAGAAAATAACGTTTTATTTCTCTTGTTTCACTGCCGCTCCCTCTCTTCATTCACTGTTGAGCTCGCTCACTGCTGCGCTCTCTGGCTTGTTGAGCCGAGCAGGAAGCAAACTTTGTGTTTACAACTGACAAAGCTACATAGTATACCTTTAAGTTTAATTGTGTTCATTATACCTCTGTGTTTTTACTCTAAGGGAAACTCCAACAAGTCTGTGTACGTGTGTTTTGGGAGTATTACTACATATGCGATAAAAAGTCGTGTAAAACCGTTTGTGGTTCCAGAGAGCTTCTTCCACCTCTGCACCAGAACCAGTCTGCTGGTTTGGGGATGAACACAATCGGAGATCTAGTTTAATGCATATTTCACATCCATATTGTGTAGTAACATTTCAAAATTTCCAAAATCTAGGTGTTCTCTTGTGTGTGGAGCAGTCAGTGGTTGAGATGTGCTCCGTGGGCCCTGATCTCACGTCCTCGTCCAGACCAGAGTCTCCTTCGCTGCCTGAGCCTCGGGCGGAGATCCTGACCCAACCTGTGAGACTGGATCCCCTAAGTCCTGAGATCACACCCAACTCCGTCTGCTCTCTCTCAGGTCGGCTTCCTCCCTCTCTCACTGGCTCCTGTGGTTTTCATGCGATTCCTGCAGAACATGCCCGATGGGTTGTTTTCTCAGGGGAAGAAAACCACTTGTTTTTTTCATGCGCAAGTTTACAGCTCAGCGAGAGGCCTTGATCTGGCTTCAAGGCATCGCTGTTTGTTATTCAGTGTCCTCAGGCTGTCATTGTTTAGGACTTTAGGAAACAAAAACACATGGAATTTAGTTGGATTCCAATCAATTCTCACGTCACTTTGTGAGTGAAATCAACATGTCTGCTCCCCAGAAGGCTTTCAATTGCAGATGAGGGTGCAATGATCTGCTGGAAATGAGTTGCAGATTGAAGGAACATTGTTTCCCCTAAACCTCTATCGCATACACGCGGTGTGCATTTTACTTTACGTTAATACGTTTAGTCTAACATGAAATATGTCAAGAAAACTTTTTGCAACAAAATTAAAACATAGAACTCCTGCTGTGCTGTTTTTATCAACCTTGTTTGAATTAGTCATTTTGTTAAATATTGCTTTACTTTCTTTAAGTCGTTCCAATTATGTAAATGTGGTGCAGAAAGAAGAAAACCAGCGTGAAACAGATAACAATCTGCATCTGTCGACTCGGTGTCACAGTCGAGGGCAAAGATCAAACTGAGCCCTCTGGTTCTGGCCCCTCCGGCCCAACGTGTTTGGTCAGGTGGCTGAAAAAAAAGAAAACAAAACGTATTATCTTTTGCACTTGTGCGCGGATACCATCTTCTGGAAATTACAAGTGGAAAAAGGCTCAGACCGCAACATGCAACTGCAATTTATCAGCGTCAAACTCGGTATCTCGTTTACGTCCCCGGGTTTGTTTGTGGAACAGCAGCTCTGGTTGTTAAGTGAGATGGTGTTCAGGGAGGGAGCGCTCTGCTGCCTTTATCACTGCCATCTCAGATAAAAATGAAAGGGATGTGTTTATCTCTTTACACCCTGTCACAAACGTACACACACTCTGAAACCTATGTAGATCATGTATCCGTTTCTTCTAGTTAGGCGTCAGTGTTTTTAGTTGAAAATAACTTAAAATGTAAATAACATTGATGATAAAAGATAAGCTAAAGTCTGTTTCCCAAGATTGTTTTGCGTGTAAATTTTAACACTTTCTGCCTGCAGGGATGATAGTTGGTGTGGATGAGACCACTGCTCATTCCTGGCCGGCCTGCAACCACTGTGGAAGTGACAACTTAGAGATGTTCCCTGAAAGACCGTAAAGTTCTCACATTTAATCAAAATGACTGTTAATGTTCATGCAAACAAACATCACGGCGAATATACACGTTTATGTTCCTTTCCGCAGTTCAAACTTCCGCTGTGTTTCTTGTAAGTCGTCGGTGGACAAGCCGGACACGAGGATCCAGCTGGACGTGTTCCTGAGTTCTTCATTAACTAATTGCACTTTAAAAGTGACGGTGAGAACAGTGTTTCTGGGTTTTTAAGTTTGCATTTGAACGTCCACTGTTTGGTGATTCAGGCTTCAGAAATGAAAATGCTTGAGGGGCTGATCCAGTATGATTTTACACAGCGTAGCTCACAAGAATTTAAAGGAGTAGTCGCGTTCTTGCCAAGTGAGATGAGAAGCTTGATAACGTGTCTGTTAATATGAAGCTACATCCAGCAGCCTTTAGCTTAGCTTAAGACAAAACCTGGCTCTGTCCAAAGATGGAAATACGCCTCTAAAGCTCAATAATTAACATGTTATATATCATTTGTTTAATCTTTACAAAAGCCGATGTGTAGAAGCGGTGACTTGCTGTTTTATGGGAGGTTATGGGTCAGACTATTTCTTAGTTGGGACCAATAACTTCCTGGAGTCTTCCAGTTTGCTTCTTGGAATTTCTCCCAGGCTTTCTTGGTCGGCAGATTTTGTTACCTTCTGACAGAGCCATGCTAGCTGTTCCCAGTATTTGTGCTAAGCTAACTGACTGCTACATATTTACTCTGCAGACATGTGAGTGGTATTGAACTTCTCATCTAATTCTTGGCAAGAAAACATGGAACTATGGCTTGAATTTTTAAAAAAAAGCTGTGTGAAAAGCTTAAGCAGCGAGAGAATTATAAAATTAAAATATCAGAAGATTGGCAGTACAAAGAGCATCCGTCTTGTTGAAGTGTCCTAGAGCAAGACACTTAATCCTTCCTCTGAGATTCCCGCACATTAAAGGGGCTTAATAAATAAAACCCGTCCCTCCATCTGCATGACGGCGTCTTTTATGATGTAAAACCTGCTGTGACTTTATCAGGACGCTAAGAGAGCCAAACTGATAAAGTGAGCAGCGTTCCTTCTTATCAGCCGGCTGATGTTTCAGCCCCTTCTATCAATCTGTTACTCACCAGCATTTGTTTTTCATTTGCAACATCAAAGCGATAATTAAAAGGACATTAATGGCTCCGAATCTTTTCATCTCTCCCGACAGCTGCAGCAGAAGACGATCACGTCGATCCTGAACACGGCAGCGCTGGAGGGTCAGGGGGTGAGTTTGCTTTTACCAACTGTGACATAACTCTGGGCTGCATTGATCTTCTGTCAGTATGTCCCGAAAGCACTGTCGTCTGTTCATTTCACGGTGATAAAGCCTGTTCTGTGCTGAACACACACAAAAACCTGAGTCATGCTCGTCACTTAAACAGTTAAAAGGAATGTGCCGCCAAAATACTGACGTAGTCTCCCACCCACCTGTTGTATTTAGGGATTGTTTTTTTTTTTTTAAAGTTTGCATGCAGTTTTTACGCTATATTTTAATAACTTTCCTGTTTAACTTGTAGGTGGTGGCAGTGTTATTTGCATTGTAGGTATTAATGATGTTTACATGGGGAACCCGTGAGTGCAGAATACATTAGATTAGATACATTAGAAACGCTGCTGACCAATGTGGAGTGTTGCATAGGTCGGGGCCTGACATGCACTCAGATATTCTTGCAACTTCAGCAGATTTGAGAAAACTATATTTAAGAAGTGCAGTTAGTGTGGGGGAATGTTTTAAAGGCTGCATTATGGTTTTCAATAAAGTGTTTCAGTTCCCAGGTTACGATGTGGAGAATGTCCTGGGAAGAGAGGTGGGCCCCCTCGCCGCTTACGTCCGAGTCGTCACCAGGAAACCGGCCCTCTGGATCGGCCTGGAAGAGATCTGCCTCTGAGGCTGTCAGGGAGAGAAGCTAATGATATCAATCCTCAGGCTTCAGGCGGCTCCAAGGATCTGCACAAGAGGCCTCACTCTGAGCCAGTTCAGCCTTCTCTCTCTCACACTCCCCCTCCTCCCTTCTGAAGGCCTCCCTGACAGCTTGAGGCTGAAGGGAACAGGCTGGAAGAAGGCAAGGTCTTGTTTGTGTTAGCGATATGTGATCCTGTGGACCAGGGCTTGACAGCCCAAGGGTAGACCAGTGGCATGCAGTCTGTCAGAGCAGCCCACGCGGTTCATCAACTTTGACTTTTGGCTGTGAACACTTTCTTTAAGTGGTTTAAAAAACTTCTTTCCCCCCCCCCCCCCCCCGAAATCTACCTCTGTATTTAAGATTACTTACACTGTCAATAAAGTTGTATTTTTGCTGACTTTACTATCCATTTCCTGTTGCACTCTCACTTCTGAAAATATGCTCCAGTTGTTCCCTCCACATGTAGTGTACCAAAGACTACTCAGACCAGGAGATTTCTGCACCTTTTCAGCAATTTTATTATAGATTCCATAAACAAAATGTTTTCAAGGGTTTCATACAAACTATATAAAAGATCATGCTCTGGCTCTTATACAAAGTTTGGAATTATATAACATGTACCATATCAGGTATATCATGTAAATGCAGTGGTAAAATAATTTAATACAGAGAAAAATCACAAAATATGGCAGCAACATCATATATATATTTTTCCAGTGCCATTATGGTAAGCTTAAAATACATCTGGTACAGATGGTAAAAAACGAAATGTCTGTTGAGGTATGTCTCCTAATAGCTCAGTCCATAGGTTCGCGAGTCCATCACCGGCTCGCGGAGCCCGCAAACGAAGAGTTGGGCATCTGCTTGAAGAAATCTCTGAGCCCGGAGAGCTCTCTCGTTAGCTGCTCGATAGTTTTATGAAGCTTGTCGTTGTCGGAGCTCAGTTCGAGCAGCTTGTGCTGCATGTCCACGTTGCGCCTCTTGGCTTTGTCCCTGCTTTTTCTCACCGCGACGTTGTTCCTCTCTCGCCTCTGTCGATACTCCACGCTGTACCTGTCCACCCTCTTCCCCTTCTCCCTGCCGCCCTTCCGCGGGGAGGATCTGGCCGAGCTGCCGCTGGAGAGAGGCTCCGGGGTGGTGGGGGGAGTCGGCTGCCCCGTCGTGAGGCTGACGGAAGTCTGCGCGCAGCTCTTGATCTGCGAGGGCAGGGACGAGGACATGTCGCTGTCACTCCAGTCGGACTCCTGCTTGATGGGCGCACAAAACGCCCCTTTATCCAGCCCGACGTCCGCTTTCCTCTCCGCTGCTGTGTACGCGGCTGACAGCTGCTGGTGGAGGTGCTGCTGGTGCTGGTGCTGGTGCTGCTGGTGCATGTCGCCCGGCGGCGCGGGGCTCTGCATGTTGTAGAAATCCAGCTTCTCCTGCTTCACGGTGTTGTTGAACAGGTCGAGGAAGAGCTCGTCGTTGCACAGCTCCAGGTTCGGCACGGCCGTCATGGACTCGATGTACTGGCTGAAGTCGATGGCGCTCTCGTCGTCGTACATGGCCGCGGTGGCGGTGCTCAGCTCCACCATGGTGCCGTCCTCCTCGCTCCTGCTGCCCGGCTTGCAGACGCCGAGCTGCGGGGCGCCCCCCAGCTTGGCGCTCTCGTAGAAGTTAGCAGGCTCCATCGCCCAACTCATGTTGCATCGTGGAGACACGCAATGAGAGTCCAGGCTGTATATGTCACACATGAACACTGCTGACTTCTTCCCACGTGGTTTTTAGGAAGTTTATATCAACTTGTTGTAAAATAAAGTGACCCACAGATGTGACAGCGCAGTAAACCTGCAGTGGATTCCACTCTCGGTGCACGCGCCTTAATCACTTTTAAAAATTAAAAATAAAATAGTAATCTTCTTCTGACAGCACTTGACACTTCTCTGAAGCGTCGTACTTTCGCGCAGTGTTTTTGTATCGTTGCCCCGCCGACGTCACACGTACCGCCCTCTCACGAGCCAGTCAAGGCAAAAAGGAGGGCACGTGGTGTCCATTGACTTCCCATTTGAGGAGCGAGGGGCGTGTTGCTCGTGCCACCCACTTTTTACTACGATAGCATGAATGGTTCACAGTTGTTGACATACTGAGGGTTTAGGATTTTAATTGGTCTCCAGAACTATAAATGATTCAAAGTATTCAGACCATTTACTGAAGTAAAGGTAGTAAAAACACTCCTTTACTAGTATTTAAGATGTTAAAGTACAGAGTATTATCAGAAAGGTGTACTTAAAGTATCCAAACTAAAATGACTCATAATGCAGGATGAGTTAGTGTTTTACTGAATTGTTATTACTGAAGCATGAACATATAAGCGATACTTTAATGTTGTCGCAGGTCGAAGCTCATCGTTACTACTTTATGTCGTAATATATTATAAACTGATGACATGTTTTGTTTTTAAAAGCTTATTATGAAAAGTACAATATGTCCATCTGAAAGGCAGTGGAGTATAAGTGTAAAGCATGCTGAGGATTAAAATACTCCATGCACTTAAGTACAATACTTGAGTGCGTGAAGCCTGCGCTGCACCACTGGTCTGATAAAGTGATCAAACATCCCAAAAAGTGTTTCGATGGAGGGAAGTCCACCAAAACATATAATGGCAACTTCCTTTCATGCCGATGGAGAACATGAAGATGTTTGTAAAAAGTAAAATGTACTACTTACAAAAGTACTTTGTGTGTATGCCATAACAATACAAGACAATATGTATTATCTATTAGACTTATATTAACCATGGACAACATATTACTGTAATAACGTGTAATAAGAGTTAAGTACTAGTTTTTACTTTAGTTTTATTTAGTTCTTTTAGTAATACTTGTTTTATATTACTTTATTTCTTATTAACCTTTTTGAGGTTCCTCATGTTGTGTATCTGTGACTTGGGATACAGTTTAATTTGCCCAAAAGTCTCTCCCAAAATTGGTCGAATATACAAAATTGAATGTGATAAACGTGATGCGGTGAAGGGAAAACAAACAGAAAATGATTGTTTAGTTGAGAAAATAATTGACAGCTTAATCAATGATAATAAAAATAGATCAAATAAAAAAACAAGTCACAACACATGCAGGGGATTTGACTACTGTTGTTTGTCGCTCTCATTTACATAGCGAAAGCAAATTTACAGAAGGATACAAAAAACCGGACAAACACCTTAACAAAGATTACAAGCTCAACAAATAAGAAAATCTATAAAAATATACATGTTTATGTTACCAAAACTCTTGTTTACCTTGTAATTACAAGTATTATTAATGTTATTAAAGTCATTACACTTCATTATTATACAATGACATTTCATACCAAGTAGATACATACATACATACATACATACATACATACTTATATTAGTATAACATACATACATACATACTTATATACATGCACATACTTATACTGACATACTGACATACATACACATACATACTAACATACATACACACATGCTGACGTACTTACATATTTAAATACATACTTACATACATACACACGTACATACTGACATGCTTAAATACACACATCCATACTGACATGCTTAAATACACACGTACATACTGACATGCTTAGAGACTGACTCATGTTGACAGAACACATTTAGGGGACATGATGAATGGAGCGGGGTGGTTCGTACCACCTTGAGGGACGCATGTACTGAAACTTCTCGGAAACGCTCCTGTGTTCCCCCCCTCAGGAAGTGTGCTGTACTTTTCCTCTGTCAGTAGCTTTAGAAATGGAAACTGCGCCACCTGTTGGTCAATGAACGCTCCTGCAGGATAAAGTCATATTTGAACGAGTACAAATAGCAAAAGAAATGCATCATTAAAATGCATCATTATAATGAACGACAATAAGATTCATTTTAAGTTGATATTTCTTCAGTTCGGACTGCTGATATTGTGACAAAAACGAGGATTTGATCCACTTACTCTTTAAAATATTCACACTCTGAATAGATGGATATTTTTCTCTCTTAATTTCAGTTTACAATTAGTTTCCTCGCTGAAAAGCAATTTAAATATCTCTGTTTTGGTTAAAATGATCCGGACTATGTTGAGATAAGTAACCCGTAATACATTATTTGTCTTTAATTTAACATTAAGTATAAACGCTTATTTATTTATTCTCAGTTTTATTTGTATTTTTTAGGCACTGGTTTTGCCACTGTTTAATTGTTTTACATTATTTTATTGTTAACTTTTTCAATAAAGAATAGGTAGAAAAATACGCTTTATTATTGGACCAAACCAAATCAAGTTCAGGGTATAAAACAGCATAATGCCACGCGCACGAAACGCTGATCGTTTTCTAAATATGATATAAAAACATTCATGTTGTTTCAGCTTTCTTTCAAAAGATTTATGTTGTTGATCAAGACATTTCAGTGTGTTTAATTAAAGTCGCAACGACTTAAACTAATCAGGAACCCCCCTCTGCAGTGGAGGAATCGACCGGAAAGAAAACGTGGATCCTGGCTTGCTATTGGTCCAAAGTTCCCCGCGAAAAACACGTTACTCGCAGTTTCGCGCCAGATCTGCAGCTCTAGGACGTACACACAAGAAGAGGTAAGAAAAGACGTGTTTTGATGGACTTATTTCTTATGAATCTACTGGACGTGTTGTTTGGATCAAACTGTCTGTGTTTATTTGATTGTGCATCGACAGACGAGCTCACGTTTAAGAGTTAAATCAGTTCAAACTGAGAAGTACGTTCCAGCTCATTGTCTCCTCTGCAGCCACATGTCAAATGGTGGAAACGTTATTGTCAACTTTTACCAGAAAGTATCAAACATATCTGATCTTGGTCTCACTTCGAGGATTGTATCCAGCAGGTACTGTGGCATGAAAGTGGAACAATAAAGGGACACACAACATCTCCATAAAGCTCTTTTTATCTACTGTCCAATCAGAGGCTCAGCAGACTAATCTAAACAAAGCAATAACCAAGTAAACAAAACGACAGGGATGGCAGGAAAACCTCTATAAAATGATCAAATAGTTTTATACAAACTCAGGAGATCAGTCGGCCTTGTGAAATGTTGAGGCTGCACAAACCTGACTCATTCAAAAGTGAATGTATTGTCCTCTGTGGTCTGCAACAGAAAACAAACAGCCCGACTTTCATAAGTCAGTCTGCAGGTTGTTGAAATCCATCCACAAGATGGTCTGCTGAAAACACTACCAGAGAACCTGCAGTTTATGTAAATACTTAAAAAAATAAGTGACTTGAATCCATTTGATCTTCAGATATTCCAGCAACAATGTCTTCCCCAACATCGACTCCTGGTGGCCGCAAACGAGGAAGGAACACCAACCCATCCACCCGTGAGTTCACGTGTCCTCGATCAAACGAGACCCTCAGCAGTCATGAGCTCCACTGAGGAGACCACATGCTTGTAGGTCGGGTGTGTTTGTCTGTGTGTGGTGCTCATAACTTGTCTTGTGTGTCCTCAGCCAGCAGCGAGGGCCCCACCTCGCCCCCCTCTCAGCGGCGCAGAGGCCAGGACTCGTCCGCCCTGGACCTGATGCCGATGCCCACCTCCCCGGCAACCGACATGCTCAGTCCAGCAGCACCTCAGGACAATTCTCTGTTCTCCAGCCCCCGGCCCTCAGGTGACCACACACAGCTTATTCGTGGTTTTAGCTTTATCCAATGGCAACGCAGGGATGTTTTAATCTTCTTTGTTGTGGCACACTTGAGTGTTAACTCCAGTGTCTCTTTTCTAACAGTCCCACCCAACGAGGTGGACATGAGCTCCCCTCTGATGTACGGGACCCCCAGCTCCAGGGTGGAAGGGACCCCTCGCAGTGGAGTGCGCGGCACCCCAGCCAGACAGCGTCCTGATCTGGGGTCGGTCAGGAAGGCTCCACAAGTCGATCTTCAGTCTGAGCCGGTCAGTGGAGGAGCCGAGAGGATTTCATTGTGTACTTTTAATAAGGAAGACGAGCTTGAAACCACAGTAGTTAACGCTTCTTCTTCTTCTTCTTTTTGCAGCCGAGTGCTGACGGTGCCGTAGCCAGCGAGTCAAACGCAGGTCAGCGACTGGTGATCTGGGGGACTGATGTCAATGTTGGGACCTGCAAGGAGAAGTTTCAGGTATGAAGTCTTACATCTCAGCCCTCATAAGATGTTCCCTGTTCTTGGTACAGAGAAGTTAATTGTCTGCGTGCTTTGCATCCCTTTGCTCTCAGAGGTTCCTGCAGAGGTTCATTGACCTAACCTCCACTGAAGATGAGAACGCCGGTTTGGACCTGAACGAGCCTTTGTACATGCAGAAGCTGGAAGAGGTAGCGTTCTTTTTTGTATCTGTTTATCGTGCTCTCTTGCTCAGTTTGGTGGTACAGTTTGGACCGATCTATTCTTTGGTTTAAATCAGACTAGATGTTTTTTATATTGTCTTTGTTTGTAGCTTGTGTACAGCAAAGTGCCTTTTTTTCCCCAGCTGGGAGCACTTCAGAGGCAGAGAGTTTTTTTTAGCTGAGGGCCCTGGTTGCGCTGATACGGAATATCAGCAGAAGTAAAAAAAAAAATGTCGGCACAAAGTAGAGTACTTGTTCTGGATGAAGCACATAGGGGGAGAGGACGGACCTGCTGGTCTATGGGCGAGGACCATCGTGTTATTCCGGTTCAGGTCAGCTTTATTATTACACCATAAAGTCCACAGTCCAAAATAATAACAAACAATATAACATGCACAATAGGACCATAACATACTCATAATAAGACACATTTGCTACCACGTCTTCGTGGAAGGCTTTTTGTCCCGCCACTCCTGCACTGTGATTGGACGGCTCAGTAAAAAGTGACAGTGAGGAGTGCAGCGTTTTTACCCAAAGTTGACTCTCCGCGACCAGAAAAAACAGCAAAAGTGCAGCACTCAGCGCAGAATAGATGCTGCATACCTTGTCACGCTGCTGGTGTGTCCCATTGGAAATCATTAAAACATTTACTGGCCTCTGGATAAAACACTTTGATGCCCACAGACCCTTATATAATAAATGAGAAAAGGATGATTGAGTCTGAACTTCACAGGAATTGTCAGATCTAGGTCTTAAATATTAATATTTCTCTTTTTTTCTCCCACAGATTAGTGTCGTTGGTGATCCAGTGCTGAATGTGAATTGTCTGCATGTGAAGTCCTTTGATGCAGAACTGTACAGGCAGCTCATCTGCTACCCACAGGTACTGCCCTGTAGTTTTAGAATTACATTATTACCTCATGTGCATTACAAAGACACTTACAAAATGAAGTGATTCATGAATCTTCATGCTGGTCTTCGGCCGGGTATATTACGCCGTCTCACAATACAAAAATGAGAGATTTCATGAATAAGCTACAAAGTCCTGAGTGCAGTGTGAACAGACTATTGTTGTATTTTATCTACAGTATGTTGTAAGCATCTTTGTTTAAATTACACTTTATTTCTAGTCTCACTCTGACAGCCTGCTGATGAGTGAGTGATTTTCTTCCGTTTGCAGGAAGTCATCCCGACCTTCGACATGGCAGTCAACGAGCTTTTCTTCGAGCGTTTCCCAGACTCCATCCTGGAGTTCCAGATCCAAGTCCGCCCCTACAACGCCCTGAGAACCAGAAACATGAGGAGCCTGAACCCAGAAGGTGTGTGGATTCATTAACCCAGCCCATGTCAAGTGAAATCACACTTTTATTAGGACTAGCGATATTTCCTACCATATTTTGTGTGGGATTTTCATGAATAGTGTTCATTGCTAAAGCGTCTGTCTGCCTTATGCGTTCCCCCCCCCCCCCCCCCCCCCCATAGACATCGATCAGCTGATCACCATCGGCGGCATGGTGATCCGCACCTCACAGCTCATCCCCGAGATGCAGGAGGCATTCTTCCAGTGCCAGGTGTGCGCCTTCAGCACCCGCGTGGAGGTGGATCGCGGGCGCATCGCTGAGCCGGCGGTGTGCCGCCACTGCAACACCACCCACAGCCTGGCGCTCGTTCACAATCGCTCGGTCTTTTCAGACAAACAGATGGTGAGGGTTCAGCGGGGTTGATGATGGGGGGCCAGATTGCTTACAGTCGGCGATGACACCTAATCTCAGAATATGTCGAGTGGTAATTAATGAGGTGTGGCTGTCGAGGTCATGACATCTGTTCATTTATCGATCTCGTTTTTTTCCAGATTAAAATTCAGGAGTCCCCTGAAGACATGCCGGCCGGTCAGACGCCTCACACAACTATCGTGTACGGTCATAATGACCTGGTGGACAAGGTGCAGCCAGGAGACCGCATAAACATCACCGGTAAGATACTGCTAGGGCTGCAGCTAATGGCTGGTTTTATTAGAAATTAATTTTCTTTTATTGTTTGCTCAATAAAATGCCACAAAATTGACCAACATTTTCCAGAGCTGAAATTGATGTCATCAGACTGCTGTCACGTCCAACCAACTGCCCAAAACCCAGAAATATTCAGTGTTCGGTGATTTTAAAAAACAACAAAAAACAAATAAGAAGCTGAAACTAAAGAATATTTCCCATTTTTTGCTTAAAAGGTGACTTAAAGCGATGGATTATGTAATTGGAACAGTTGCATATTAACTTTCTGGCTACAGAACTGTTGCTTAAGCTCTAATACTTCATAAAATGATGACACATTTTAAAAAGCGAGGCGTATTCTGGCAGATGACAGCCATCCGCTTTTCAGCCAGTTTAGTCCCTTATTCCAAGTGCCATCAATATTCCTAACTCATCAAAGTAGCTGTAGATCTGAGCCACAGACATGAACGGTTTTAATAAACAAAGATTTATGGCATTATAATGTTAAACACTCGTATCTAACCCTAAGACGACATCTTCATAGCTCTCATTTTGTCAGTCCTGGACTCCCTAACAGCTTCCCATTTGTCCCTGCAGGTGTCTACAGAGCTGTCCCCATGCGAGCGAACCCCCGTATGAGCAACGTGAAGTCCGTGTACAAGACTCACATCGACGCCATCCACTTCCGCAAGACGGACGAGAAGCGCCTGCACGGTTTGGACGAGGACGCCGAACAGAAACTCTTCACCGAAGACCGAGTGCAGACCCTGAAGGAGCTGGCAGCCAAGCCAGACGTCTACGAACGCCTCTCCTCCGCCCTCGCACCGAGCATCTACGAGCACGAGGACATCAAAAAGGTGTGTGAATATGAGTGTTAACCTGTACGAGCACCCTGCTGGAAGAGTAATCGGTACACAAACTCTCACTTTGATTTGCCAATAACACTCCGGTTGTTGCATCTAATTCCCGACATGGAATTTAAGGAGAGCCAACAGAAATCTGAGACGGTTAATAACATTTTTCGCTCCATTAATGCAGTTTCAGGGCTCTGATGATCTCTCACCGGGACACTCGATGTTAGAGAAACCAGTCTAAACTTCTATTTAATGTCACTGGAGTCATCGATCATCACTAATATTATAAGTCACAGCTGTGTGTTTCCTGCTGTGACAAGTCAAATTATTGTGGACACCCAAATTAAGATGAGATAAAGGTGTTGACGTAAGTATAACGATGCATCGGAGCGTATGCACTCTTCACAGACTCAAATACCATCATTTTAATGGTCACAGAGAAGGATTTATGTTATATTTATATTTATTTTATGAGTTTAAAACCTTTTTATGTTGTCTTTGTTCTGAAATCACTTGTTTCCCCCGAGACAAAGTCTGGAAAAGGCAGCAAAAAAAAAACGCTAAAGAATTACCTCATGTCTTCATCGTTTTGGTGACGATTGCATGACGTCAGCAGTTTCTACCAAAACTGCTGACGTCATGCAATCGACAAGAAAACATTTCTACCTGTTCACCTGTGAGAATATCCACAAGTCAGAAAGAGGAAATAGGATCAGCTTAAATACGCAAATATGATGAGATAAAACTAAGAAGATAGAGTGAGAGAAGCCTTTGAGTCGTGAATGTTATTAGTTCCACGAAGAATTTTCCTGCTTTGACGATTCAAACAAGTCTGTTAAAAGTGTTCTGCAGCCTTGTGTTAATGTAAAGATGGTTGATCCCAGTTTATTGAATTATCCATCTAAACAGTAACACGATTAGACTTTTTTTTGTTCCAGGGCATTCTGCTGCAGCTGTTCGGCGGCACCCGCAAGGACTTCAGCCAGACCGGCCGAGGAAAATTCCGCGCGGACGTCAACATCCTGCTCTGCGGAGACCCCGGCACCAGCAAGTCCCAGCTGCTCCAGTACGTCTTCCACCTGGTGCCCCGGGGCCAGTACACGTCGGGGAAGGGCTCCAGCGCCGTGGGCCTCACCGCCTACGTGACGAAGGACCCGGAGACCAGGCAGCTGGTCCTGCAGACCGGCGCTCTGGTGCTGAGCGACAACGGCATCTGCTGCATCGACGAGTTCGACAAGATGAGCGACAGCACGCGGTCGGTGCTGCACGAGGTCATGGAGCAGCAGACCCTCTCCATTGCTAAGGTGTGTTTGACACTTTTTAAATGATGAAATGTTTTACGTTGCAAAGGGACAGTTCTCACTACTTCTTTCTCTATTGTCTGTCTGCAGGCTGGAATTATTTGCCAGCTGAACGCTCGGACGTCTGTGTTGGCCGCCGCCAACCCCATCGAGTCTCAGTGGAACCCCAAAAAAACCACGATCGAGAACATTCAGCTGCCTCACACACTACTGTCCAGGTGATTACCGCCAGTCGGCAATATCGCACTGAAACACCCGATAGAAAATCTAGTTGTTTCCATGGTTTATTTTCTCACGCTGCATTACGGCGCTCCGTCAGATTCGACCTCATCTTCCTGATGCTGGATCCCCAGGACGAGGCGTACGACCGCAGGCTGGCCCACCACCTGGTGTCGCTGTACTACCAGAGCGAGGAGCAGATCGAGGAAGAGTTCCTCGACATGGCCGTGTTGAGGGACTACATCGCGTACGCACGGACGTACATCCAGCCAAGGCTGAGTGAGGAGGCCAGCCAGGCTCTCATCGAGGTTTGTTTATCTACCTTTTTAATGTTGAATATACACCGAACAACATTGGTCTTAAAGTGCTGACAGTCGAGTCCTATTATTAGACATCAGCCCTCAACTGACCCGTATGCATGTTGGTCCTCAGGCCTATGTCGACATGAGGAAGATCGGCAGTGGCCGCGGGATGGTGTCAGCCTACCCCCGACAGCTGGAGTCCCTGATCCGCCTGGCGGAGGCCCACTCCAAGGTGCGCTTCTCCGAGAAGGTGGAGACCATCGACGTGGAGGAGGCCAAGCGGCTGCACAGAGAGGCCCTCAAACAGTCGGCCACGGACCCCAGAACAGGATTCGTTGACATCTCTATTCTCACGACGGGTACGCAGAACAGTGAATATCAACTGCTTGTTGTGGATGCATTTACAGCTACGGAGGCAATGTGTGACATGAGTGGGTTAGAATTAATAGTCAAAATGTTGCTGTTATTATATAGTGATGTCACCGTGGGTCTTCGGGATATTTTTACTATTTTCTGACATTTTATAGAGCAGCTGCATTATCAAAAATATAAACTGTAGATAAATTGAGAATGACAATATTTCCTTGCAGCCCAACACTTTTTTTTTTGCTAAGTGTATTAATTTGCGTCTCCAGGTATGAGCGCCACCGCGCGCAAGCGCAGGGAGGAGATCGCCCAAGTCCTGAAGAAACTGATCCAGACCAAAGGAAAGACCCCCACCATGAAATACCAGCTGCTGCTTGATGATCTCAGAGGACAGTCTGAAACTGTAAATATCTTTTTTTTTTAAATTTATTTATTTATTTATTTTAATATTTTATAGATGAGCTGTGAGAACATTGTGCTCCTTGGTTGAACAACAGCAGAGTTCTTTCATTTCTATATGTAATGATAACTTCCCTCTTTGTCACTTTGTTTCCAGGCGATCACTAAGGAGCTGTTTGACGAGGCGCTCCGAGCCCTCGCTGACGAGGATTACTTGACGGTTACTGGAAAGACCATCCGTCTCCTCGCCTGAGGCACACCCTGCAATTATGTACAGTCCCTTCATTTTTAAATCCTAGCTTTTCCTTGTGCTGTAAAAAGTATTTTGTGTGATTGAACCACCATATGTTTTGCGGGTGTATTAGATGTTTGAATATCCTGCAGTTTAGAGACGTCTGCATTCAAACTTTGGTGTCCTGATGTGGGGGAAAAAGAGAGAAACACAAATAATAGAGCTAATATTTAAATGTGCTTGTATTCCATTTGTTTACCTATTTTCAAGTAATGTTCTTGATGTTTTGTGTTCTGGTAAAAAAAAAGCTCTTTAGTTCCAACTTGTACATTGTGATGACTCTGGGTTAAGTCACTTATTTCCACAAAAATTAATTGTCCCTGTAGCATTGAGAAATAAAATGTTGCTCACTGAAAATGCTTTGAAAGTTGTTGTTTTTTCTTCCAGTTGTGGCGAGTTGGAATAAATTCCAGTGTTTTAATTGTTATATTTTATCCTGAGTACATTTTATAAGTTAACATCAAATTAATCTGCACTCTGTATCATAAAAACACGACATTATATTGTACACAAGGTTGTTCCAGCTCTTCTCTGAAGCTACAGACGCTTAATATTCAGTTTGTTTTTATCAAATTGAATTGTAATAGAAGTGTTTTGATTTTATACACATTGCCTCGGAATTCAGATGGCATGTTGATGGTATATTTGGAAATTTTGGGTTCTGCACAAGAACTTGATGTTTGAGGGTTGCAACAACATGAGTTTGTACAGAACAATCCAGTGGGGTTGAAGTCATTTATCGTCTACTAAAAAGCCTTAATAAACCACCTCGGCTCCTCTGGAGACCGCTCTGCCTCTGGGGGCCTCCGTCTTTCATGTTTGTTTGTTCAAACCCACAAAATTTTCAAGAGATTCAAGTGGAAAAGTTTCTATTCTGTCACCAGCAGTTGGTTTAATTTGAACACTATGTTCAACCACCTGCACCACGTCCATGCGTCATTCTCATCTGTGACCAACAAATTCCTCAAGCAACACATAACTTTGTGTTGACTTGTCTAACCGAAAGCTACTTCTTCCTGTTATGTTGGCTAACTAATTGGACAGCAAGCTAGTTCTGAATTTAGTTTCCTTGTTGCTACTAACTAATTCATTTGACAACGAATTGGGTCAAACTATTGGCTGAAACACGTTGGTCTGCCAGTGTTGTGGCTTTTTTTTATCTTGTCCATGTTCCATAGAAGTAGGGGAAGATGTCTGAAAACCAAACGTATTCTGCTTTGTGGTTGTGATTTAGCTTTTATGCTAAGCTATACATTTTACACTAAGCTAGCCAATACTATCTCTGGCTAATGTGATGCTAACTGTAATTAGCAGCAGTTATCCAACAAGAGTGGCTTATTAAAGTTTGGGCTAATATATTCTAATTTAATTACCTTTTTAAACTAGGGATTAATAGGCCTAAAGTTAATATTTACATTTCTTCCGGTTATGTATGTTGGAAATCCAGTTTCCTTGTTACTGCCAGTGTTTATTATTTTTTACAACACCTTTAGTCAAACTATTGTTTAAGATATATTCGTTTGTTTTCATTGGATTTGTTGACCAACCATTATTGGACGCGTTTAAACCGTCAGACTGAAATGTCCATCTCATGGAATAGTGCGGCCATTAAAAAAGACAGACCGATGAAGTGATGTAAAAACCTGATAGTGATGTGTCAAAAAATACAGCCAGGTAAACTTTATGGTACATTAAGTTGCTTCAAGATGCCAGTTACATAAGTACTGACCTTCATAGTAACGCTGCCATTGACCAGTAAAATTGTTCAAACCAGTTTGAGTGAACGCAGCAGCTCTTGCAGTGTAGCGATCAGCCACTGAGTTATCAACGGTCCGGTTTTACGGCGGTGACGTCACAGTTCTGTGTGCTTCTGGACTCGGCTGAAGAAGATGGCGGCCTCCTCAGGTTTGTGTGCCTTCAAAACTAGACATATATAAAGCGACACACAAACTGTCGGCGAACCCACTTGGCCGCGATGTCATCTTGGCCACCAAACGTGGCAACTTGCTAAGGTTGATCAAAATTGCTCTGAATGGTCCTTTATTCGCTAATATCTCCCAACGCTCTTCACGGGAGCCGTCTATCTCCCGGAGTAACTGTGTTGGCTAACCTAGCTTACACGAGCTAGTAGCTTGCTCCGTGAGTTAGCTAAAAATAGCTCAAGGTGTCAGAAATAAGCGTATATTTTGCAAGTATTTGCCTTCTGTGTCTCAAAGGAAACTCCTATAGATTGTAAAGTGCGTTATAAAAGTTGAATAAGGGTGTGTAAATAGCCGTCAATATTAAGGGTTGTAAACAACCGCGGATTGTGCTAGTTTAGCTAACCTAACTACTAGAATATTCCAGTACCGCGAGGCAGCGAGAGTCGATCTTGTTGTGTCCGGGTGGCTACTAATTTGATCAGAATAAACGTAACGTTGCCATTCATTTTTTGTATTGATTATCCAGGCGTATTGTGTAGCTTAATAGTCATTACGCTGCAAAAAAAAAAAATCAAGTGACACGTGTGTTTTTTTATACCTTCTATTTTTTTATATCTTCTCTGTGACACACCTTACATTGCAACACCATCACGGTAACGTTATCATTGAAATGAAGGGTCCGGTCCGGCTCCTTCTATGATCAATACTTCACTTTCTAACATTATTTAACAAGATTGCTACTGTGAGACTCCAGGAATAGATGCAGGAAGTAACTCTGTCGTTGTTGGGTGGGGGAGTATAGAAACGCAGCAGTAGTTGGCACACGTCGTTTCAGCAAGTAGTCGGAGCCCATGCTTTCGTTAAGGGCTAAGCAGGAAGCGTGGTTGTCAAACGTACAAAAGTCTTTGAGAATTACAGAAAAAGAAAATGATGATAATTTAAAAACAATGTTCGACGTAGTTTCTTTGGTGTCAATTTAGCTACACAACACGGGGATACAATTACAAACTGGATAAACGGGAAGTAACTGCATAACCGAAACTGCAAGTTTGCAAGACCTGCTGATTAATTTTAAGTTATTAGTGACATAAATATACCTAAAATATAATTTTTTACGTGGCACAAATCTGCTCACGTCATCCGTCTTTAATCAGGATTAAATCTTATGATCCAAACAACTAATTATAGTTCTTGAATGAGTGGCCATTTATATTTTAGAGTAACTTAAATCATGGATTTGACCTACACCTTAATGCTTTTAGTCAGTCAGTAATCTAAGATACCTGATGTAGCCCAAAATGTGTGCATCTTGTGTATTAATAGTGTAATAAAATGTAAAAATGATAATTTGTTCCCAATGCAATTAGACAAATGTTTGTGGAAAATCAAATCGCACTAAAAAAATACGAGACACACAAACTAAGGCTGGGCATACTGATTTATTATTAATATCCTCAAAATGTGCGGATATACTTTGCTTTATACTTTATACCAATATAGACGTGGATTTGTTGTATTTCCTTTTGTCTTATATCACGGTAAACCAATTCATCTTAAGGTTTCGGACAAATCGCCTTCTGATGAAGTTATTTTGTTCTTGTTTTACCTTGTTATAGACCAAACAATTATTCAATTAAATGAGAAAATAATCGTCAGGCTAATTGATTTGTTGATGGATAGTTGTGAGTTACTTATTAGCTGACATACACTGATACCAGTGATGCTGTGGTGCATTACGATTCACCGCTAACATTGGTCTCTTTACCAGTGTTTTAGTGTCGATAAAGGACTGAAATCTAAATCAACTTCTCGTGAGCAAATACCTTTCAAGGAAATGTTCGAGCCACTTAAGAGTCAATCCTTCATTGTGGCCACCGCACACCAGATGTGAATTATTGATTTTAAAAAGTGGTGTGAAGGTTTACTATGATAAATGTCTGAGATCAGAGGAGGTGAAATGAACCTTTGATGACGGAAGGGAATATTTGAGTGTTTTCACCGTGTCCTCTGCCTCAGTCAGAGGCCTTTTTAAAGAAACAATTTGTCTTCAAGTTCATGATTATGAAAAGTAGCAGTTAGTTACCTTAAATGCTGTCCCCTCAACCTCCACCAATCCTCCAGTCACGAACTGTAAGTGGTTCATCATTTACACCCCCCTCCCTCCCTCCTGTCAGGCTGTGTGTTACATGCCAACATCTGAGTCGTCCTCTGAGGACATTTCCCCACTAACTGAACACTTTGACTAGTTTTGAATGATTTTATTATCAAGTCAGCTGTTACAACTCTTGGTCATAAGATGACTGGATGTTACTCTGAAACATTCATGAACAATCAGCAGCAAATGCCCGCGTGCTCCGGACCTCATGACTGCTTACAAACTGCAGATTTTTATTACGCTTCGATGTTCAGCAGCATCAGATATCTTTCATAGATATCTTGTGAACGAGGTATCACATTACATGCAGCTCCACAGCAGGTAGACCAGGATGCTGGTGCAACATGTGCGTAGCGTACGGCATCATTTGATATCGAGTCATCTCTCGTATCAACCAGTCACATGTTTATCAATCTTACTCATTTTAATGCATTACTTTTCGATGATTTAGAAAGATGAATGTGTGTCTGCATCAGTTGGAGCGCCAACAGTGACTAAACACTTTATCACAGTTCTATTTCAGAGGGAAACTATTTTAGGACTCAAGTCACGCTTGTTTACAATTAGGTCTGGAACTAATGATCATTATCCTCATTGATTAATCTATATATATCTATATATATATATATATATATATATATATATATATATATATCTATATATATATCTATATATATATATATATATATATTTTTTTTTTTTTTAGAAATTTTTTTTTTTTGAAATAATTTAGATTCTAAATGTAGGTGAATCGTAAAAAAAACGTGCCTGTCCTAACTTCTCAATCTGTCACAATTTCATTTAAACATCATTTTGTCTGAATCGCAAAGATGTTTATCCTAAACTACAAAGATGTGACGAAGAAGAAAGGCGGAAAGTCTTGCATCTGACGAGCAGTAACCAGAGAATATTTGACATGTTTCCTTTATAGCTCTATTCACTAAATTGATTAAATTGATTAATCTGCAAAGTATTTTGTCAATAAGTTAAACTTTTGGTCTATTAAATGTAATAAAATAGTAAAAAAAAAGTGACATTTTAAAAGTCCACTTATGCTCACTATGTTTTTAATAGTTTTTGGGACAGAGTAATAAGCTACAGTAAGCCAGGTTGTAGCTACACAGATGGTACTGATTGGTGGGTCAATTCATTGTTGGTTTTTGGTCTTTTAATGGAATTGGTTAACGGTAGAAAAAAAGAGACGTATACATTCAGTTTGGTTCTTTTTTTGTTATTTTAGGAGTTAAAGTTCCACGCAATTTCCGCTTGTTGGAGGAGCT